AATATAACGCGGTTTCACCTATAATGTGGTAAGATTTTTTGGCTCCCAAGGACAGCATTATATCGAGGTAGAGGTGTACAAGAAGAATCAGAATTACACTGCTTAAGATCTTCAACTGCTCCTCTGCCAACAAGATTTACTCTTCCCTCCGAGACTCAAACTGTCATAATTCTTTTCCAGCTGGAATTCTGCTATTATAAATCAATCAGTGTTGCTATTTAGCAAAATAGATTTCAAATATTTCCAGAGACTACTAGAAAGTGATGAATTTTACTGGAAACTGCCAAATGATTGCTGCTGTCTGCATTTCACAAAAAGCTTGCAATAATACACATCTTTGCAGTCCAGTAAATAGAGGCTATAAGAATTGTTGGTTCATATTTCCACCATCATCAGCTGCAAGTAGTTTCCCTAAAATTCGTAGGATAAAAGGGTGACTATTACTGAAACATGTGTTAAATTATCTTCCCCTAAGGTTGAATGAATTCTTTTTTTTATATATAAATGTTAAATTTATTTACAAAATAAAAAGTTAGTCAATAGTACACAAAAATTAATTTCATCGTCTGTATGAATACCTTCATATATAGGGATAGCTCTATGCACAATGCCAAGCCAAACCATGTTGTTTTTTTTTTTTTTTAATAGCAGCAGCTGAAGTTGTGACATACACAGTACAATTTGATGTGGAACACCATTTGATATTTTAATATTATGAAGATAATGTCATTACACAACACTCTGCACTATATTTTAGCTAGTTACTTTAAAAGGTTCCCTATGTCACTCTAGCCAGTCTGTGTGCTCAAATTCAGCTGGACTTTTGAATATAGCTGTCAAGTTATTTCCATCTTTTGATTGCCATTTGCCAATGTATTTACACTCCTGACATAAGGAATTCCCCCCCCCTTTAGATTGTGTTTTATACAATTCAAACTCTGAAGATGTGCTTCTTTGCACACAGGCCCTAATGTCCCAAAATACATATACTCAATCAGGAGGGATTTGGGTGACTCTTAAGAATACTTACACCACCACATCCATTCCCCCACCCCAGAAAATGTTTAGGAGAACAGATGAGCCTTGCATTGAGCTGAAGTTGAACAGATTGAGTCTCTGCTGAATTAATGGGGAAAGCAAGTTCTACAGTCAATGACACCTATCTGAAAATGGCCTGACTGAACCCCTTTATGATTAACCAAGGAACTGAGAGCTTGAGTGCCTGAGATGATCTCAGCTGGCACGGTATTATAAAGGGGGACAGAGAGAACCTGAGGTAACCAGACCCAACCCAATTAAGGGTTTTATAGATTAAAACCAGCACCTTATATTGCTCTCAGCAATGTTGCCTTCTGTACCAGCTGAAGTACGAGTGCTCTTAGTTTAGAGAGGCAAGATAGGTGAGGTAATACCTTTTATTGGACCAACTTCTGTTGGTGAGAGATAAGCTTTCAAGATCCGTGTAAGCTCAAAAACTTGCCTTTCTCACCAACAGAAATTGGCCCAAAAGATATTATCTCACCCACTTTGTCTCTCTAATATCCTAGGACCAGCATGGTTACAACACTGCTCTTAGTTTAGCAGTTTAATTCTGTGCAAGCAAATTGCAGTAATCCCAAAATGACAAAGCTATGGATCACCGTGGCAAGATCCACATCCAGAAGAAACAGCAGCAACCTTCTGGACAAGCATAGATAATACTCTTGGTCACTGCCACTGTGCTGGTACTTGGTTGTCAAAAAATCAGCAAAGGATCCGAAAGAACTCTGTAGGGGAGTGGCTTACCTTTCAAGTGTCAGTCATACATCTGCACCTCAGTTTCCCTACTAGTCCAGCCTTGTAGGCTGTCATGATGCTTTTGACCCAGTGGTTAAAAGTTCAAAATCCACCAAAAACACAATCTTTCAGTATTCCCTGCACTCAATAGCTAGCTCTTCACTCCTAATTATGCAGGGCTCTCTCCCAAGGCTATACAGTAGCTGAGGCGGGGTGAAAATACAACACAGACTTTTTGGTGACCTTTCTGTGTTTAAGTAGTCCATTTTGCCCCTTGTCAGGCTCTGTAGTTTGTTAGCCCTTTCCTGGGCTCAACAATTCCTTTGCCCTATTGGAGCAGGGCTAAGGGAGGGTGGAAGGAAATCCTGGGACTCAGCCCCTAGCTAAATGCAGGTGTCACACCCCAATGCCACTCTGCTTATGCCTGCCTGTGTCTCTTCCTTCTCACATCACCTCTTCTCTGGCTCTTTCTACATCTTGTCCTGCTCTTAGGCTGCACCTGGCTCCACTCCACTGCCACCACCCTTGTAGCTGTTTCCCAACTTTACGTCTGTCACTGTGGAAAGACCAAACTAGGTCTTATTTCCATCCCAGCCTGCTTCAAACTCAGTCCCAGGCTCACCGTATGTAGTCCCAGCAGAGACATGATTTCTCTCTGGAACTACGTTTCCTAGAGTGCCTCTGCCTTTGAAGGCCAAATCCCCACCACCAGCTGGGCTCATGGCACCGATTCTTAAAACGGTCAGCATGCTTCAGTACAAAATTCCAGATTACTCATTTGGTTACTAGGTTTGCTTATTTGATTTGATGAAGCATTGGATAGCTATACTGGTGTTTCTCAAACAGTGGGTTGTGGGCCCCAGGGGAATCACAAAAGGCAATCTGGGAGGTTGAGGCACTGAAAATGTTATTAGTCATGCAAAGAAAATCTCACTCCTTGTCCACCTTTATCCTTCAAAGTCAAGTATTCTCTGTCAACTTCTCAAAATACATACACTAATTATATAGGCTTATAACTGATACTTTTTACTCTCACTTTCATAAGTAAATACAAGGAGATAATGAAAATATTTTACTTTGAATAAGTTGTCACCAATCTGAAAAGTCTGAGAAATACTGAGAACCACAGCAACAGAAAAAGTGCTCTTAGGTAATCAAAACCAAGAGGCTAGCTTCTGGGAGTATGCTTTGTCAAGCAGATTAATGGATCAACCATTAACTTGACAGTGACTGTGTCTTCTGGTTGACAAAAAGTCCAAACTACCAGATAAGAAAAGCGATTCATTGCTGCCATAAAAAAAAAATTGTCAGTCTACTAAACAAAGAGGAAAAATAAACAAGCTATTTCCATGACAATAGAATTGATTGTATACACATCTTTTTCTTAAGACATGTCCATCAGTCACCGCAAATGGGAAAAAAATGTAACAGAAAACACAAAAAAGCCTATCTTACTTACCTACAATCTATAATTAAAGCTCAGGGATTTTTTAACTCTAAGTTTAAATATTTTTGCTTAAATGAGACGTGCAGGGAACAAAGCAAAAAGAAGAATACAAAACCTACCAATGTGCATAAATAAAAACATCCATATTTAGACACTTTAGTGGGGTCAGTATCCAAATACATCAACACAATCAGCACCCTAAAATCACTCAATCCAAGTATGGAGAAGATCTCTAGTTTACAGCGTTTTTATTCTAAGCAACAGTTTAACACACGTCAACATACTGCATATGTACATGAGCAATGGTTCTAATACACAAAAATATTGCATGCTGTGTACATGAATTTAAACTGTCTATGCTTTTATCATTATCTGAGGGACTGACAGAATATTGCTCCAAGTATGATCAGTTAACTATATCTCTTCCATGAAGTTTTACAAAGATTCTTTCAATCTTTTCAAATGATACAAAAGGGTTTTTTTTTTTAAAAAGGATAAAATATTGTCCACATTTTTGAGATTTCATACAGTCTTAAACAGCACAGCTGTTTTTCCACATTAACAGTGGCTTGCTAGAACATTGAAGAAATGGAATACTTCATCTTTATCCAAGACTGCCACTTCAGTTGAACATTCGGTACATTTGACTGGATGATATACTTCCTCCTCTTCCTGATTTGCTTGCACAGTGGTGATCTCGTTGCTGTGTTTCATTTTCTTATGCCCTTTCTTTATCTTCTTGTTCACTGGGCCTTTGTATTTTAGAACCTCTTCTTTGTTAACTGAGCAGTTCATCACAAACATTGCTCTGTACTGCGTTTTGTAGGATTCATGTCTAGGAAGAAGAGAAGAAAATGCAATGGTCATATTCTCTGATAGAATTCTGCTTCCACAAAACTGGTTAACACTGCTGAAGGTAGGATTGAAGACAGGAAACACCAAATCGAAGGACTAGCAGCCTGTCAAAAGTGAAGTCTTATAAACAAAATAAAAATCACAACTACAAAAGCCAGGAAAATGTAGCGTTTCTTTAGTTTTGAAGTTAAGCTGTTTAAAAATAAATAAATGCTTATTTTGATAAGCATCCCTGAACTACATAGCTATATTACTATGGAATCATGAATGGTGATTTATGGCTAAAAATGGGACAAAGATTAGAAGCCAGAATTTGAACCATCATTTGCCCCCCAACATGAAATATTCAAAATCATTTTAAGCCTGTCATTTCTCATGATTCAGATCAGTCCAAAACTAATTTTGTTTTTCAGAAAAATGTTTATGAACCGCAAATCTCATGCCAATTTAAATTTAGTATCTTAAATGTTAAATTTTTGAGCTAATATATTTACCCTAGAAAGATCAATTCAGATCCAACCTTCAGGACCGCTTTCAAGGAAGGGGTGACTATATATGACATACATACATATTTAATTTTATTTATTTATATTTGTAGTTTGCTTGTTTCCATCCTAATAAAATTCTGTTTTACTGTTCCTCAATTCATCTCCATGCTGTATGTTCCCAACTCTTTCCTGCTTAGATGATCCCAAATCCTTGCATCTGTTATTCAACCATGAACCTGACCCAGACATACCTCGCTTCTCTCATTCAGTTTTGGCTTTCAAAGACTTTCTCAGTATGAACAGTGACTTCCTCCATTTTAGCCAAGCAGTCCTTTCAAAGCCTGAAACACCAGGCAACTGCCATTAAGGTAAATAGATAAGAGAGCTCAACACTTCTCAGGACTGGGCCTTTGTGAACATCATTATACAGTCTCTAAAATCTACATCTCAAGAAGAGTGTGGAACTTTTGTATGCAGCACAGAGCCCAAAAGGAGACCAAGTGAGAAGTACAAAGTGTAGCAGATGACAGCCAACAGTTCAGAGAGGAAGGTGTTAATTTCCCCCCCCTCTCAAATTTGTGTTTTTGTTAAGATTTCTCTCTTCAAAATCTTGGATAAGGTGGGTACCAACTCAGTTACAACATTAAGAAAATTAACTCCTAGTGTCAAGGACATAAGACTAGGCACCAAAGATCATTATAATGCTTAGGATAGTGAAGTCCAGATGAGTTAAAAATCATTTGAACACTCCAGGAAATTGTTTTGGGCAAGAGCAGAGGCATTTTCCTGCAACTAGTCAAACATGAACCCAGTACCTTCATCTCAATGTTCTGTATTCACTCTGGAATACTAGTTCACTGTGACCCACTATTCTTTCATAATATCAACATATTGCTAGGGATATTTACTAATCTGCCTGTGACTACCACTTCCCCCCATACTCAAACTCTTGCTTAGCTGAAAAACTATCAATGTACCACAAAGACTGAGTATCATTTGAGTATTTGATCATTTATTCATTCAGAGGTTGAGCCAAGCCGCTAACAAATGGACTGAAAATACAGCTGACTGACTGGTTTGCAAAACAGACAGGATCTTTAAGATTAACACTTCTGAAAAGCATTAGATATAGTGCAAATCACTGTCTCATAAATATTCAGTGAATCTGCAAAACACTCTTCTACATATTGCTTATTTCCATACTGGTCCCACCCCGATCTCTCTACAGAAAAATTCTAGATTTGCTACTGCTGAGCCAAGGTGAAATATAATTGCATGCATGTGTTGAATCCACACCTTTACTTCCATAACGATACATCTGCTCTGTTTAAAACTAATAAGTGTAAATTACATATTTCACTGCAGCTGAAAATAAGACATTACAGAAAGATCACTTCATGTTTATGGTTCAGTAATTACCTCTGACAGTCAAAGCACAATGTAGTCATGCAAGCAGGGCAGTTCAAAACAGCATCACTGTTTGGAATGGCTGGAGGTTTGGACTGCTGCTGCTGAGTTCTTCTTATATTTTGGTACCTACCAAGAGGTAAACAAACAGGTGAAAACATCCATCCCTACAGGTTAGGCATCTAGACTGAACCTTAAAGCTGTATTTACAACCAAACCCCCACCTCCCCACAGCAAATGTTTGATACCTCCTGGAACCCTGCTCTCCCAATCCAAATTTGCTCAGGAGTTTGGATCTTAACTGAGTGTGGATTTTTGGATCATGATCCTTTGCTCTGTGTGAAGCAGGGTGCATTTTTTCTAGGTCTAATCACCACAAGTCATTTAATTCTGCTTTCATCAGTTCTTGTTAAGCTGCAGAATCTAGTTTTCCTGCAGTCCAAGGGATTTTTACTTCATACACACCCCCAAAATCCCACAGAAAAGAAGCTCCAGGCTCTTTCCATTTTATCCAAACACACTTTTTCTGCCTCACTAAATTCCAAGCCTGTCAAAAACAAAAATGCATTCACACTAAACAATGACCTATAGCTAAACAATCTGGTGATCAAAATAGGCCAGGACATAAATAAATATTAGATGTCACCTAATCCTGCAAGGTCGCTGCATGTGGAACGCCCTTTGACTTCAATGGGAGTTCCTGCAAGTCACCCATGTGTAAATAAAGGTTTTTTTTTTTTTTTATAACAAGAATAAAAATATAAAGCAAATGGGGTGGTAATAAAGAAGCACATATAATCATTAATTTCGCTGGTGAAATTTGCAGGGTTAAATCCTACTAGAACTCCCATTAAAGTCAGTGGGAAGTTCATATGGAGTAGGATTTGGCCCCAAGTAAGTACCTACAGGTTCAGAGCATCACAAAAAGGGACCTGTAAATGTGGATAAGTGAACACTGTATTAAAACAAGCTTTTTTATTTCATATACTTCAAATGAAGTTCTGAATCAACAAAACAACTTTTAGACATACTGCCTTTATAGCACAGTCTTTTAAGTTACTCGGCATATTCAAGAATATTTTCAAGGGTTAAAATGTTTACAGCTGCTTACCCTCGTCTCTGAGAGTCCACCCACTCTTGGTCTCGATCATCTTCTTCTGGATCATAGAGTAGCTCATCGTTAGTAGGAATCCGGCGCTGCTGATGTCTCTTTTTTTTCCTGGCCGCCTGTGTACCTGGGAGATTTGTGCGAACATAGTTGAACTCTACCTCCCAAATAATATCATCCATTAAACAGAGAACTATTGTCTATTTCAGGGGTCCACAACCTTTTTCTTTCCGAGCCCCCCCCCACTCTCCAACATGCTATAAAAATTCCATGGCCCACCTGTGCCACAACAACTTTTTTTCTGCAAATCCAGTAGATTAAAAGCCGCCGGCAATAGGGACAGCATGCAGGGCAGTTGCCCAGGGCCCCATACCACAGAGGGCCCCCACGAAGCTAAGTTGCTCGGGCTTCGGCTTCAGCCCTGGGTAGTGGGACTCAGGCTTTGGCTTTCTGTCCTGGGGCCCAGTGAGTCTAACGACGGCCCCTCTCTGGTTTATTTTGGTGGATCCCCTGAAACCTGCTTGCAGCCCCACAGGGGGCCTGGGACCTGATTGAGAACCACTGATCTATTTAGCTAATTAACCAAAGTGACAGTTTCTACTTCATTTTTGCTGTGCTACAATCACAAATAATCCCCATTAAAACAAAGACTTGGATCACTCTCTTCTGCAGAACACTGCCAGAGAAGGATTAATGCAGCACCAGGCTATATAAATTACCACCTCTTTTTCAGAATTTTGGTGGTGGTGTGAGATGATGTACATGCCCCCAACCTAACCACCTGCCCTCAAGACCCTCTCCAGCCACAATCCCTGGCTCTAAAGAGGACTCTTCAAAGTCTGGAGCAGGGTATATTGCTGTAGAGATGGCCAACTCTTTCCTCAGTCATTTACCTACTTTATCTTCATCCTCCGAATCAGAGTCAAAATAAATGTCGTCATAATACTTTGTAGTGGTGACTGTTCCAGCTTGTCCAGTACTTGAGGAAGTACCTATTTATGAAATTATAACCAAACAAAATAAGAAAGCACCAGAATTAGCCATCATGAGCCCAATATACAGAAACAGACTATATCTCCAAGAGCGAATTCAGGAAGAGGGATCACCAAAGGCACATTCTCTGTAACTGTTTGAAAAAGCAACTGGGATCCATTCTTATGCACATGTGTAACTTTACCCTGTGAGTAGTCCCACTGAAATAAATGAATTAGTTTAATATTTAGGAGATTTAATAGCACTTACATAACACTTTATTTAGAGGCAAATTTAGACACATTAGTTGAAAACCTGTCTAAATTGAGACATATCAGTTTACACCAGTAACCCACTAGCTGATGTGTCTACCTTTATCTTGAAAATAAAGTGTTATGTAAATGCTATTAAATCTCCTAAATATTAAACTGATTGTACTGTGCTCCATGCACTGGCTTCGATGTGACTCTACATACTGCATAAAGTTACACACACTGAAGTCTTTGCAGGATTGGGGCCTAATTTATAAAATGTACCTACATCATCTTCTCTAGGCACAGATATACCAATCATAAAGCAACTAATGGACATAATGTCAGCTCAAAAGGATGGTCAGAATATAGTCCGGGGTGAGCCATCATTTGCAAATTATGGAACTCTACCCAGGAAAGTGTTACATGGCCTCTTTGGTAATACAAAGATAATTAAATGGAAACTATGCACAGGTTCACATCTGTCCAGTTAACTGGAAAAACAAGATTTACCTTGCTGAAATGTCTGCAAATCAAAGATCCTGTTTAAAATGGACCTTTTAATAGGTGACTTGGGAAGGTAATTAAGAATGCCTCACTATGCATTTTGTAACAGGAACAAAGAAACATGTTCTCCTCAACAGTAAGAAACTAATCCCCCTGGTCATTATGTCACTCTGAATCAAAAAGAACAGAAATATATCTGAGGGAAGCATTCTGGAGATGGACAGCTTTGGCTATTCAGAAGCAGCTTTTAGTCCTGCTGTGAGAGAGGTAATTATACTCCCAGTTCATAGACTAGCTTTCGAAATATTTTTTATCAGTGTTCTGTCAAGAGGCTAAGGTTTAAAATCTTTTTTTGGCCTGTTAACACACTTTAATTTTAACTAGTTTCAATCTGATAGCTTTTTGAGAAAATAATGACACTATTTGAAGTGTATGTTATTCACCCTAATTGATTACATTCAAATATACTCCTCCTAACAGTACCAATTTCCCTTATAAAAGCACAAAATGGAACTGAACATTGTTTGCTATATAATGATACATTAACCAATACCAACACTTTAAAATTGTGGCACACCCAGGGACTGAGGTTTACCAAGTTCAACACATCAAACACTATTCCTTTCCTTCTGAGAAGGGAATCCTTGTAGCTGCTTTGGATGCCTTAAAAAGCACCTGATTTTCACTTAAGAAGTCTTCTGAACATTACAAGTGCTCAGAGAGAAAGCAAAGCTTAAAAGCAGTTGTGAAAATTGCTCAAAGCCACTAAGGTTAGACCAGCACCACAAAGCTTAAAAAGTGGCTGTGTTATCTAAAATGCTAGTCAAAGACTAGAAACATTTATTCTGTGACAGCCATGGTAAACCACAGATGTGTGTGTCTTGGAACAAATATTTGTAGTATGTCCAGATTAGCATTTGCAATTCTGTTAGTTAACACAATTTAATCAGCAATCAATTCACTCAAGTTAAAATAGAATCACAAACTCTACTCTAGAAAAACCCTTTAGTGTAGCTCTACTCTGCAATTAAACTCTTCTAGCTCTGGGGGCTCCTGGGCAGTAAGCAATTTCTTTTTCACTTTGTAACATAAGTAGTATTTTATTTTTACTTCTTTCCTCTCTGTTGCCAGTAGGTGACCACTTCCTAGAGCCCCATGTCATAGGGGCTAAGTCCCATATGTCAGAAGTGGCGGCTGACAGCTCTCAAGATGATCTGCAGCAGATGGAGGGAATCTGCTGCCTGTTGTCCCTTCTATAAGCGGGTGATCCAAATCCTGGCAACATCAGGGAGCCACTGGAGGCAGGGGGAGAAATACAGCCCCAGCCCCCCATGTACACAGAGGAAGGGCAGGCTGAGAACAGGACTGGAGACCCCCTAAAAAGGAGCAGTGGACCAAGGAAGGCAAGCCACTAAATGAAAGAGCAGAAGCTCAGCAAGTCCACGAAAGGAAGAAAAGTCCTGGAAAGTGTGAAATGCCCCATTCATCTACATGAGCATTGGGATATTGATAGTAGTTTAAATTTAAATGGCTAGGTGAACTATTTAATTGCTGATTTAGCACAGATGTCCAGCTATGATTATCAGTGAACACACCCGTAAAAAAACTGAAGGGTCAAATAATGCATTAACTCAGCCACCCTATAATTGACTATTGTATAGAAGAGCAGATACTAAAACAGATATATTTACCTGTTTCTAGTGACTTCCACTTGCCCTCCATAGTTTTCATGGTGCAGTTTAGTTCCGCCTCCATTTCCTTTTGGAACTCATCTTCACTTGAAGATTCACTTTCTCCAGTAAGGCACTCCCTTATCAGTTTGCGCTTCTGATCGGGAGTGCCATATAAAAGCACATCCACTTCATCTTCTGAGCTATAGGATATTTAAGTATTAAAATCTATTATTATTGGTTTAAAATATTAACCTTTCTATTCATGCAATAAAGATATCTTTTGAATTGTTCTGAAGTATTGGAACAACTTATCTGTCTAATGATTGGACATATTTTACCATTTTAGTTGGACTACTGCTCCATTTTGGCCTATATACTAAGGCCACAATCCTGCAATTGACAGTGAAGTCAGTGGGTCTGTGGGTAAGCACAACAATCTACCTATGCATTGTCAACTGCAGGACTAGAGTCTTAAATATTTCAGTTTAAACAAAAAACTACTCTGATTGTAAGTTTAAAAAAAACCAAAAAACAGCAGCAAGCTTTGAAAAAAAGTCCTAGAAAATTATGTTTCCTTTAAAGAAGGAAATTGCATTTGAGTGAAATCGTATACTGTTCACCATAAATTACAGCCTGCCTCCCTTCCATTATATGCCCCTTGTGCTTCATTTCTTAGCAATGCACAGCAGGGGTGCAATAAGACACAGTGTGGGAATGAAGGAGTCAACAGTGCACAAGACCATTTTTAAAAAGTCTTTATGAGAATGTAAGATTTGTGTTCCTGTCGCGTTCTTGCAATGAACCATGTATGCTTATTTACACTGATGCAATCACAATGCCGATAAACCTATAATTTTAGTTTTCATGGTGTTACAAGGCACTAGAATAACCCAAAACAAACACTGAAAATAAAACAAAGTAGGACTAGAAACTGAAATGGGAATATAGATAAGTTTGGCGGGATTCTATTTTTAAAAGAAATAATTCAACAGCTAATACGGATATGTACTTTTAAACATTTTTCAAAGGAGACATTCACAGTTGTGCAAAACTAAGGTTTTAAGGGTTTATCATCAATTTAAATGTTTACAGTGGCAAGAAATGATGGAGGGATCAGATCTGAGCTTGAAAGAGGTAAAGCGTCATAAGCAGGTTGTTTCAGCAGAGCTGTAAACAAGAACTTTACGCAGCATTTGTTACATCACGTTTTATGCTCATTAAGGTGGGACTCTAAGAAGTTCTCCTGCAGCAGCTCGCTCGCTTTGCCTGCCTGTACATTCCGGCTACTATCAATGGAAATACTTTACGCTGGGCGTGTGGGTGCCGAAGTCATTTCTAGCCCTTGCGGGCCGAAGTCCGGAACTTTATTAGAAGAGGAGAGTAAAGAAGCAGAGTCTTCACGTGACACCTCCGAGTCCTGCCCGGGCACTGGCGTGTCTCTGCCTGCGTCAGTCATGGGGACGCCAGGCCCAGTCAGGCTCTGCGGGGGACTCTCTCAGCCCCTCCCCGGGTCGCTCGGTACCTGCTCTGCCCCGGCTCCTCATCGCTGGGCTCCTCGATCACGTAGGGATCATCGTCCTCCTGCAGGCGGCTCATGGCGACACCCAACTAGCTCCCTCTCTGCTCCGGCCGCTCCGCTCCGCTCGGTGCAGCGGCAAACTCGGTCCCCAGCCCCGGTCCGCCCGGAAACCTGCTCCGCCACCCGCTTCCGCTCCTGTGCCCCGGCCCGTCCCGGCCGGGCTAGGCCCCCGCGAGCGCTGCGGCCGCGCCCAACAAGCCACCGAGCTCCTTCCTGGGGCCCGATCCCCGGATCAAGGAGGCCGCCCACCTCCGCCTGCCTTTCATCCCAAGTGCACGAGCCAGCACGGGAGAGCCACGCACTGATAGTGGCCAGTGCACGGGGGGAAGGTGCAAGCCCAGTGCCAGCTAGTGCCATAAACTGCCCTTTACAACGGCGCAACATCCCCTCCTCCCTAAATCCCTCAGCGCGGTGAAAAACTTCACTCTGTGACCACTGGAGTTAGGCCGATTTAACCCGCTGTAACAGGCGGCATTCTTCCCTATCAACCTATCTACCAACCACCATTTGGAGGAAATGGATTAACTACAGTGATGGAACAAACACTGCTGGTGTTGTAGGAAGTTTAGAGGTCCTATTTTAACTATTTACTTTGTTGTTAACAGTATATGCTTTGTACTCCTTTCCTCCTATAGTCTGATTATAATTATGAGCGCCTCAGAATACATACATAAAAGGCATGATCCCTAAAATGATTCGCATATTATTATAGACACAACTGGAAATAATTATATGCACCAGTAGTCACTGGAAATGTTGATTTTCAAACTTGGAAGCTAAACAATCCAATACATGATGCAAACAGCATTTTCAGCATCAGCTCCTCTTTAAGGGCTTGTCTATATCAGGAATTTATACCTGTGTAGCTACATATCTGTACAATCCCCCAGTATAAATGGCTGCATTAGAGTAAAGGAAGGCTTGTACTGTGCATCTTACCCATGTTTGAAACCACTTCTGTCATGAGACCCAAAAATGGTATATCAGTGTGAACGCATGTAGGAGATCTAGTTATTGGCATATTAACTCACTTCTGTCTGGATCTCCAACACAAAACCCCACTTATCCAAATCCCTGCTGCGCTGTCAATTGTCCACAAAGCAACACAAGCAGCAATTCCGAGACTTTGGGAGTCATGAAGCAGATAACAAGGTATAGACCAGTGGTTCTCAAACTTTTTTTTTTTTTCCACAGACCACTTGAAAATTGCTGAGGGTCTCGGCCGACCACTTAATGATCTTTCCAAATGTTGTTTGTACTGTTAGCTAACTATTGTAAAGTGCTTTGGATAAAAACGCTAAAAAAAAATTAACATTTTTTTGTTCTACAAATATTATCAGTAGTCTTAACTTTCTAATGCGATGGATGTGCCCTCTCTCCCCCACGGCAGCAGCCCCCGAGCTGGGGCTGGGAAGGACGGGGGTCTCTTCCTGGCAACTGCAGTCCTGGAGCTGGGGAAAGTCACCTTTCTCTGGCCGCCATAGCCCTGCAGGTCCTAAATTCCCCCAACCCCCTCTTCTCACCCTACTGCCCCCTCTCACCTACCTCCTAAGGCCACCAGCTCACCTTACATGTGCGTCTTCTCCAGAGTCCAGGCACCTAATAAGAGGACCCACGCCTGCACACACCATAGAATGGAACTTGCGGAACACAGTTTGAGAACCTCTGGTATAGACACTTCTGCACAGGTGCTTTGGAATTACACAACAGAACCACAGCTCTGGAAAAAGACTCATGGTTCAAATCACTAACCACAGACTCAGGCCTTGTCTACACTCAAGTTTCTGTGCAGTAAAGCAGCTTCTGCAGTGTAACTGCCAATGTGTACACACTGCCAAGCCACTTAGTGCACAGAAACTGCACAGTTGCAGCGCTGTAAAAAACCACCCCGATGAGAGGTGTACAGCTTTCTGTGCTGGGGCTACACCCTGGTCGATTACAGTGCTACAATTGGCCCCCCGGAGGGGTCCCGATTACAGCGCTGCAATTGGCCCCCCGGAGGGGTCCCACTGTGACACATGGCTAGAAAGGGTTAAACATCCTGCACAATAATCCTCAAAAGACATGTGGGGAGATGTTTGTGTTTTTGTGTATTTACATATGTATGAGTATGGTCGACAATGTAGACAGGGACTTGATTATGCTGTATACTGATAATTCAGAGATCAAAAGAACATCCTAGCACAGGGGTCGGCAACCTTTCAGAAGTGGTGTGCCGAGTCTTCATTTATTCACTCTAATTTAAGTTTCGCGTGCCAGTAATACATTTTAACGTTTTTAGGTCTCTTTCTAGAAGTCTATAATATATAACTAAACTATTGTTGTATGTAAAGTAAATAAGGTTTTTAAAATGTTTAAGAAGCTTTATTTAAAATGAAATTAAAATGCAGAGCCCCCCGGCCTGGTGGCCAGAACCCGGGCAGTATAAGTGCCACTGAAAAGCAGCACGCGTGCCATAGGTTGCCTACCCCTGTCCTAGCATTTAAATAAATTGTAAACATGGGATATCTCTGTATTCATCTCTTTTTGAAATGTATAGCAAATAATCTGAATAGTGCAGGAACAAGCAAAATTGCCTTAAGTTAATTCTATACCTAAGTACCAGTGAGGACCTCTTTCAAAGTCATCCTAATTACCTTTTGTTCCCGGAGGAACTCCCAACTTGTCAAAGAGGACATGAAATTGTATAAAAGATCCTTGGGTTCTGATTCTGTCATCTCAGATTTGCTTAAGCTTCATCAAGGGACATTTGAGTCGCAAGACTGAGGTCTTAGTTAGGGTGGTACGCCCTGACTATGATATTTGGCTTTGGACTATAACCTATGAAGTGAATTCTAAAGGAACTCTTTGCAACTACAAAGCTCACCATCTCTGCTATGAATCTAAACCTCAATGAATTGAACTCATGGTTGTATGTATATTGATCTTTTAACCATTCTCTCTCTTTTGTTTTTTAATAAACTTTAATTTAGTTAATAAGAATTGGCTGGAGCATGTATTTGGGTAAGATCTGAAACATTCATTAACCTGGGAGGTAATGTGTCTAAGCCTTTGGGACGGGTAGAACCTTTTCTTTTATATGATGAAATAAGACTTTCAGAAATCATCATATTTGACTTAATTCCCTTAAAGTGATCCAGTCTCAGGCCTCCATCCAGATACCTGTATTTGGATTTCTGAGTAACCAGTAAGGTAATAAAGAAGCTGTTGTATGGTGGCTTGGTAAATCTAAGTATTAGAATATCCACCAGCTTTATGCGGAGTGTCTTCCCCATTCCTTGGGGTTTACCCTAATTGAGTGACCTCAGCTGGCCCCAGCTGGGACCCCAGTCACATGCACAATGCCTGTTCTTGCCTTTCTGGTCATCGGTCTCAGCACATCTTTTCAGGTGACCATGCCTGCTCCATGCACCAGGCGATCCTCCGTAGTCCGAGCTGCTGGACCTCATCAGCATTTGGGGAAAGGAGGCTGTCCAGGCCCAGCTGCGCTCCAGCCGTTGGAATTAAACCTATGGCCAGAATTCACGATTCAGGACAGAAAGGGGCCATGACTGGGACACACTGCAATGCAGGGTCAAAGTGAAGGAGCTGCAGAATGGTATGGGCGGCAAACCGCCTCTCCAGTTCCACGCCTATGAGCTGCCGGTTATACAAAGATCTGGATGCGATAGTCGCTGGCGACCCCATCTCCACTGCGAAGGTCACTGTGGATACTTCAGTGGCTCACGCGCCAGTCAAGAGTGGACTGAGCCAGGAGGAGGAAATCTTGAACAAGGATTGGGACCCAGAGGCAGAAGACGACTCGGAGGTCAGAGATGCATGCAGCCAGGAGCTCTTCTCTGCCTTAGAGGAAATGCAAACAGGAGAGGAGGCCCCTGGGAAAGTGGCTTTGATTTTAGGAACTCGCAAAAGTGAGTTGTTGGGAGCATGAAGGTTGCAGAAAGCAGGCTTGTGTCTGTATGATGTTGCTTGACTCCCTCACTTCATAGGAATCTGCCTCAGAGATCTCCACAAAACTCTCATGGAGACACTGGGCAATCTGCTACCACAGGTTCTTTGGCAGAGCTGCTTTGTTTCTTGCACCATTAAGAGTAACTTTCCTGCACCACTCTGCCGTCATGGAGAGGGGGGAAGGGAGACCATTGCTGCACACAGGCGAGCCGCATAAGGGCCAGGGCGGAAGCCGCAGTCTTAGAGAAGACCCTCCCTTGATTCCCTGCTCACCCTCAGCAGCAAGATATCTTCCATAATGAACACAGCCTGTGGAAAATACAGTAATGATTATAAGGCCCCCCCTACAGTGCTGGCTCTCCCCAAGAGTCACGTGCCCAGTGTACAGTACGGTCCCGGAACCTGATTTTCCCTGCTGCTGTGGTTACTCACCATTTGGGGGGTCTTGTGGCTCATGTGTGCTTGCCTGGGGTCAGCCAGTTAGTGATAAGTATGTGAACAGTGGCTGTATTTTAAAATCACTGAATCAGTGGTCTCTGTGTTGCAAACAATACTGCTTCTGTAAAATGCTGCATTTTGGCTTCACAGATATGACCTTGGGAGCCCAGCTTCCCTCTTTATCGCTGGCTGAACTGCTGTGCAGAATTAGAAAGCATCCACGAAGAACTAAAGAGGACTTTCTGCATGATGTCATGATGCACTCTGCGGCCGAAAAACAAAAATTGAAGGAGTGGTGGGACAGCGAGAAGAGGGACCGACAGGAGAACGCAACACACCAGAACGAAGCCACGGAGCAGCTCTTAAATTTTATGGAGTGCCAAGCGGATGCGCTCCAGACACTATAGCACTGCAAACCGAGCAGCTCCACGCCAGTCTTCCCCTGCAGCCACTGTTGCAAAACTCTTTCCCAGGGCCCCCCCAAGACACCGCCTCCTCCTGGGGCCCTCCCTTTCCCCATCCCCCTCAGTGCTGATGTGTTGTTTTGTTTGTCTCTCTCCTCCAGTTGTTGTTTTTTAATAAAAGAATTGTCTTGGTTTGAAAGCAATCTTTATTCCATTAATTGAAAGCAAACAGAGGCCTTTCAAAGCAACAGGCAGTTTTCATAAACCTTCATAGAGCATTGTTTGCACCAATCACAATCACCTCCTACCATTACAAGCACTGGACTCCCGAGCATAGCAACAATTAGTGGCTTTCAGCTTCAAATTGCTGCCTCAAGGCACCCCTGATCCTTATGAGATCCTGTTCTGTGCCCCTCTAATAGCCCTGGTCTCTGACTGTTCAAATTCAACCTCCAGGTGCTGAGCCTCAGCGGTCCAGCCCTGAGTGAAGCTTTCACCCTTCCCTTCACAAATACTATGGAGCGTACACCACACAGCTATAAGCATAGGAATATTGCCATCGGCCAGGTCCAGCCTCCCATATAGGCAGCGCCAGCGGGCCTTTAAACGGCCAAAAGCACAGAACAGTCATTCTGCACTTGCTCAGCCTGTTGCTGAACCGCTCCTTGCTGCTGTCAAGGTTCCCTGTGTATGGCTTCATAAGCCACAGCATTAAGGGGTAGGCAGGGTCTCCAAGGATCACAATGAGCATTTCGACTTCCCCTAAGGTGATCTTCTGGTCCGGGAAGAAAGTCCCTGCTTGCAGCTTCCTGAACAGGCCAGTGTTCCGAAAGATGTGTGTGTCATGCACCTTTCCAGACCAGCCTGCGTTAATGTCCATGAAACGCCCACAGTGATCCACAAGCGCCTGGAGAACCATAGAGAAATACCCCTTCCGATTAATGTACTCGGTGGCTAGGTGTTCTGGTGCCAGAATTGGAATATGCATGCCATCTATCACCCCTTCACAGTTAGGGAAGCCCGTTTTTTCAAAGCCATCCACAATGTTACGGACGTTACCCAGAGTCACAGTCTTTCGGAGCAGGATGCGATTAATGGCCCTGCACACTTCCGTCAACACGAGTCCAACGGATGACTTTCCCACTCCGAACTGGTTAGCGACCGATCAGTAGCAGTCTGGAGTAGCCAGCTTCCACAGTGCAATCACCATGTGCTTCTCCAATGGCAGGGCAGCTCTCAGTCTCGTGTCCTTGCGCCACAGGGCTGAGGCGAGCTCACACAGTCCCATGAATGTGGCTTTCCTCATCCGAAAGTTCTGCAGCCACTGCTCATCATCCCAGACGTGCATGATGATGTGATCCCACCACTCAGTGCTTGTTTCCCGAGCCCAAAAGCGGCGTTCCACTGTGGTCAACACCTCCGTGAATGCCACAATCTCGTACCGTAGCTATTACACATAGCGAGATCAATGTCAAACTCCTCTTGTCTTTGTAGTTTAAGGAATAACTCCACTGCCACGCGTGACATGTTAGAGAGAGTGAGCAGCATATTGGTCAACAGTGCGGGATCCATTCCTGCAGACCAAAGAGGCAGGACGCGCAGTACACAAACCGTTGAAAGATGATGCCAAATGTGGAAGGAAGCACAGGGATTTCTGGGATGTGAAGCAATGCATTATGAGGCATTGCGACAGGACCCAGGAGGCCCCACGACCCCCTCCGTCTTCCCACAACTCTTAGCAGCAGAAGAGGAAGAGATGCTCTGTGGGATAGCTGCCCAGAGTGCACCGCTCCGAATACCGATGCAAGTGCCGCAAGTATGAACACGCTATTGCGCAGGCAGCTGACAGCGTAAACACACATTAGCGGTTTCCCTTCAGCACTCCCTGAGTGGCGATGTAACTCTGCCAGTGTAGACATACCCTAAGGATCCAAAGTCAGTAAGAGTCACAGCCCAAAATTTTGGTCAGGGGAACGTGACCCTCCTCTGTCATTCCTGCCACTCCTTCATGTCCAAATCGTTGTTTTTAGGGTTGTTTTTTGTTTGTTTTTTTGAGACAGAGCTACTTGTGTTTAACCAAGAAGGGGCGAATTACAACACTGTCTCTCTGACTGCCTCCCCTGCTTTCCAAACTCATGCTTTTGTCACTCCTCTTCCTCTTTCCTACTAAAAAAAACAAACTCTTTTTAAAAATTACTTTCCTCTAGAATGGTAACCAAGTCTGAAACAATGTCTAGGTGAACTAGACGGTACCAGTAGATAGATAAGCTAATAAACCTTCAAAATTTAAGTGAGAAGAGTTATTGGAAGAGTCTAGCAGGAAGCAGGGTCAGTCCAATCCAACACTATTCAACAATTTGCTTCAGAGGACGAGTGGAGAAAATGCTGATCAAATTAACCAGATTTGCTACAAATACCTATTTAAATTATTATAGATGATACAATGACTGCATAGTTTTAGAAAAAAATCACTGATTTCACAGTTTATTTTACAATAATTGGGATTAGTCTACAAGTTAAGGCAAACATACTAATGCATTTGCTTTTCCTTTTAAATCATAATTATAAAGATTACATAAAGTTCTCCAAAATTTCTAAGAAATGTTCATTATTTGGAAAAAATCATTAAGATGCTTGACACCAGGACATGGAAAAACTAAGACAATGCATACAATGCTTTATAATAACAATATTCAAACATCTAATGGCAATATTTAATCCATTTGAACAATACATTCAAATGGGCAACTTCAGAAATTACTTACAAAGGTAAATAAGATTGGCAGCCATACCATAATACTATTCATAACATGAACATAATTATATTGGCTACTTTCACAAAGAAACAGGACATTTGATTTCTGAACAATGAAAGCGTACAATGATTAAATAAACGTGTGTGTGAATACATGTGCATAAATGAGTATGCTGTTGCTTCATATAGTCTGGAACTGCTTTCAGGAGTCTTCACTTTTTCAGAGAAGAGGAGCTTATTTATGCATACTTTGCCAACTGATTTCTCCGGTGAGATGTAAATCCCTATTAAAAGTCATGAAAACAAAATCCAGAAGAAGGCAGCCCTTGTTAGTGGATGGACAGAGTGTTTTATGTGTCTCCATTTAACACTGCCAGGCAGCTCTGCAGCAGCTGCAAGTTACCCTGTAGAAATAAAGAAAACGATGACCACATTTACCTATTTTCTGAGGTATAAAATATTTTTAAAAGAAGATAAAATTAATTACTTATTAAGCAGCATGGATAGTTATAAAACATTTCTAAAATATTTTTGTTTAAGCAATTTTCATCTTTTAGAAAGATCTGTTGAACATAGAAAGCCGATCTCAAGGAACCGCTAAACAGAAATTTTGAGATCTAGTACACTTTCTGAATTTGGTTACTTTAAATAACTTCTCCACTACATCTCATATCCTTCCCATACATATCTCAACAAAAGTCTATTTGTGATACAAAACACAACAAATTCACCATAGAATTCTGTCGTCCTCCTTTCTTTTACAGTTAAATTCTCAGTTGTAAAAGGATGACTGAGATTTGTGTGGAAGATATTCTTTCAGGTACCCCTCACTCAAAAAAAGATAGTAATACTACTATTGTCAGATTATTCCCATAACAAAATTATTCAAGTAATACATTGTATATAAGTAAAAATAAGATAGACAGGAATTTCTTTGATATATTTATCTTGGAGCAATGCAGGAAAACAGAATCAATTAAATGCCCTAAACCAATGATTTAAAGGGTGGTCCTATCCTGAAAAATTACAAAAAGTGGCACCTTATTCCTCAGACATGTTCCATGTGTGTTATCACTTTGGTAGTGACAAAATAAAAAACTAACTTGTTAGCACTGCAGAGAGAGCAGCTATAGGAGAGTGGTTATAAGAACTGTTAATCAAGTTTCAACTGCAAGGCCAAATCTATCCCTAGTTGTACAGATGTAAATAAAAACAAATTGGCGTGCAAAATCTTCATTACTAGTGATGTAGAAAGCAACAAAACTTGAGTTTGTACTCCAATCTAAAGCTGAAGAGTATCGGCAAGAAACAGGAATTGGTAAGAATGAACATTCTAATATTCCATCTAGTCCAATGCAAGATGGACAGACAAAACCCCATAATGCACAATTATACCATGGAAAATGCTTCATGATCCCAGTTAGTAATGAAAATATACCCTATCAAGCATGTGAACTGATAAATTTTATAGTTTTAAATTCTGTTCTTAGTCAAATCCAGGTCTTTCTTGGTAACTATTTGCTTCTGTAACCTGTAGCAGTGAGTTCCATCACTTTATGTATGATCTTAATTTCAAATTTGATTTTTAATATAAAAGAAGCTTTTGATATGAAAAAAAAAGAAGCTCTACTGCTTCTGTTTAACCTATACAATGACTAAGATTCTTGCACCTCTCCAAAGTAAGCAGTTCAATTATGTATAAAAGACTTCATATAAAAAAAATAATCTCACAGCCATCCCCCACTGTTTGTTTTGTTTCCTTTGCCCTTCTTTGGAGAAATGGAACAATCATGTCAGTTAAAACTCCAAACACCAATCTTGTCTGATCCTTTACCCCATCCATCCTCCACTCACTGGCAGCAGTCACCAGTACTCCACAAGAGAAACTAAATTTTTCCTGTTGTATATATGAATTACACCAACACGGTGTTTTCTTATATCCACCCTTCAAACCCATGTAAGGTGCAGGGGGAAATCACCTATGTTGCTAGGTCATAGGGACCCAGGAGTCTGAGGCCCATGTTAGTAGACTGATCATGGCAAAGGTTGATCTTTGCCCAATGCTGGAAAGGTGAAAGAGGTAGAGTGGAGCCTATAGTATGCTGGAAGAATAGACAAAATGTGTGTGTACTGTATATGGATGGCAATACATGAGAGATCGTGGTCTCTGGCCTGCAACAGGAGGCTCTAGTTGCCAGCCAGGTATATGTAAAACATGTAAAAATAGAGGATTTTGGATTCCAGCCATTCTACTGAATAATTAACAGGCAATCTCTCATCAACATGGAGAAATTATGTAGGAAACTCATCAGCATTAATGTTAATTAAATCCATGCATCAGTGGGAAAACAGATCCATTCAAGTTTAAGGAAATCCCAACATTGCCATATTAGAATGCATAAGTCACTTCTGACAAGTGGTACACCACTTAACTTTTCTGATCTGTGGTGATGGGCATTTTTTCCCCTTTAAGAATAGAACAAGTTTCATATACTAAGAACAGAACAAGTTTCATGTACTAAATCTTTCAGATACTGGGTGGCAGATGAGGAACACATCCCTCATAACCCCTATGTTTGGAGAAGACAACAAAAACCTGTATTATTGTAAGGCATACATGTCAAAACTGGGTTTTGTCCCACCTTACATCCACATTTGAGTATCTAAATTTAATTGCCAGATCAGGATTCTGTAATGAGTTGTTGATTGAACTATGTAAGCTGCACTTAAGTTGCACTGTTTATCCTCACCAATTCCAGAGTATGATCACCATCTTGTTTATGAACTGTAGTTCAAGTTCAACGTTACAGAACTAAGATGGTTTTAAAGTGGTAACCAGGTTTACATGTGATTTTCACATGAGATAGCCAAACATTAAATACAGACTTCTACACTTACAGCTCAAGAGCGTCTATATGCATAATATATTGAACTTGCGAACCAAGTGAGTTGCGAGAGTTGCGAATCGAGTGAGCTGCAAGCAGAGGGAGTTTGCCTAGGAACCGAGCTATGGTGAGTGTTGCATTGGGGGGCTGCGTTGTGAGATGGTGGGGTGAATATCTGAGTGTTTGTCTGCTGTGACCATTTGTCTGACTGGTGCCAGTTACAGGGACTGTTTGACTGGGTGTTTGTTTAAAAAGTGTGACTGTTTGACCATGTGGATTGTTTGTTTGAACAGTTTGAACAGCATTTCATAGTCACTATCACTGTCCTGGTCAGGTAGTTGAAAATAGATCCCTACTGTTATATTCTTATTAGAACATGGAATTACTATCCATGAGATTCTATGGAACATGTGGATTCATTTAAGATTTTTACTTCATTTGATTTTGATTCTACATTTTCTTTCACATATAGTGCCACTCCCCCCCTCGGCACGACTTGTTCTGTCCTTCAGATATATTTTATACCCTGGAATGATTGTGTCCCATTGATTGTCCTCATTCCACCAGGTTTCTATGATGCCTATTATATCAATATCCTCCTTTAACACGAGGCGCTCTAGTTCATCCATCTTATTATTTAGACTTCTAGCATTTGTCTACAAGCACTTTAAAAACTTGTCACTGTTTATTTGCCTGCCCTTTTCTGATGTGTCAGATTCTTTTTTGTGTCATCCATCTGCCATCCAGATCCGGAAACTCGAGAAGTGTGCTGCTTGGCTGGAGCTAGAATTCAGGATGTGACAGAGTGTCTGCCAAGACTGATCAAGCCCTTGGACCACTACCCCTTCCTACTTCTCCACGTGGGCACCAATGATACTGCCAAGAATGACCTTGAGCGGGTCACTGCACACTATGCGGCTCTGGGAAGGAGGATAAAGGAGTTTGAGGCGCAAGTCGTGTTCTTGTCCATCCTCCCTGTTGAACGAAAAGACCCAGGTAGGGACCATCGAATTGTGGAGGTAAATGCGTGGTTGTGCAGGTGGTGTCGGAGAGAGGGCTTTGGATTCTTCGACCATGGGATGTTGTTCCAGGAAGAAGGATTGCTAAGAAGAGATGGGATCCACCTAACGAAGAGAGGGAAGAGCATCTTCGCAGGCAGACTTGTTAACCTTGTGAGGAGGGCTTTAAATTAGGCTCACCGGGGGAATGGAGACCTAAGCCCTGAGGGAAGTGGGATACTGGGAGGAAACACAAGGAGGAGGGTGCAACAGGGGAGGCCTCCTGATTCATACTGAGAAAGTAGGGCAATCGGCTAGTTATCTTAAGTGCCTGTACACGAACGCAAGAAGACTGGGAAACAAGCAAGAAGAATTGGAAGTCCTGGCACAGTCAAGGAATTATGATGTGATTGGAATAACAGAGACTTGGTGAGGTAACTCACATGACTGGAGCACTGTCATGGATGGGTATAAACTGTTCAGGAAGGACAGGCAGGGGAGAAAAGGTGGAGGAGTTGCACTGTATGTAAGTGAGCAGTATGATTGCTCAAGCTCCAGTATGAAACTGGAGAAAGGCCTGTTGAGAGTCTTTGGGTTAAGTTTAGAGGTGAGAGCAACAAGGGTGATGTCATGGTGGGCGTCTGCTATAGACCACCAGACCAGGAGGATGAGGTAGACGAGGCTTTCTTCAGACAACTAACAGAAGTTTCCAGATCACAGGCCCTGGTTCTCATGGGGGACTTCCATCACCCTGACATCTGCTGGGAGAGCAACACAGCAGTGCACAGACAATCCAGGAAGTTTTTGTAGAGTGTTTAGTACAACTTCCTGGTGCAAGTGCTGGAGGAATCAACTAGGGGCTGTGCTCCTCTTGACCTGCTGCTCATAAACAGGGAAGAATTGGAAGAGGAAGTAGAAATGGGTGGCAACCTGGGCAGCAGTGACCATGAGATGGTCGAGTTCAGGATCCTGACGAAAGGAAGAAAGGAAAGCAGCAGAATACAGACCCTGGACTTCAGAAAAGCAGATTTTGACTCCCTCAGGGAACTGATGGGCAGGATCTCTTGGGAGTCTAACATGAGGGGGAAAGGAGTCCAGGAGAGCTGGCTATATTTTAAAGAAGCCTTATTGAGGGCGCAGGAACAAAACCATCCCAATGTGCAGAAAGAATAGCAAATACGGCAGACAACCAGCTTGGATTAACAGGGAAATCTTCGGTGAGCTTAAACACAAAAAGGAAGCTTACAAGAAGTGGAAACTAGGACAGATGACTAGGGAGCAGTATAAAAATATTGCTCAAGCATGCAGGGGTGTAATCAGGAAGGCCAAAGCACAATTAGAGTTGCAGCTAGCAAGGGTTGTGAAGGGTAACAAGAAGGGTTTCTACTGGTATGTTAGCAACAAGGTGGTGGTCAGGGAAAGCGTGGGATCCTTACTGAATGGGGGAAAGCAACCTAGTGACAGATGATGTGGAAAAAGCTGAAGTACTCAATGCTTTTTTTGGTTTGGTCTTCACAGACA